TAATTTTTTGTGATTGGGATTTTCGTGGCGTGCGAGGTCCCGGCCCCTTAGCTCGACGGCCGGTCGATTATCAATCGCGAGAAGCGGACGTCCCGGGTCCGCCGCGGCATATTAACGAGCGAGTGCGTATTGTATTGTTTTGACGCGGTTTGAAACAAGAGAAAGACGGGCGAAATAAACGCGAGTGCTATCGGGGTCGCTGTTCTTTTTCTTTTCTTTTTTTTGCTTCCCCATTCCGGTGCCGGTCGCCGACTGCCACCGGCGACCATACGGACCCCCCCGGCCTCCGACTTCAAATCACCCCGGAGCTGCCGGTCTCGATCGGGACGAACTCGGGTCGAGTGGCCGACGCGCGGACGGCGACGCCGACCGNCAGTTAGTGGGTGCGATTCACGCACCTGGCGCCCACACGGACTCGTGGAGGTCCGAAGTTAATTAGCGGCCCGAGGTTCGCCCGTCGGTGTTGCACCGGCGACTCGGAGCAGCCAAGTCGCGAATAACGGTCGCACTGCATGTGAGTTTTGAAAGGAGCTAAGAAGAAGGTGTGGTCCTCCGGATGTTGCTCATCTATGAAGAACTCTCCTGGTAAACGAAGAGTGGAGCCGTAGAGGTATTCCGCAGGGGAAGCCTTGAGATCTTCTTTGTAAACAGATCGCAGACCCAAAAGTACCGTCGGAAGCTTCTCTAGCCAGTCCTGAGAGTCGTGACAGCGCAGAGCTGTTTTCAGGACACGATGCCAGCGCTCAAGGATGCCGTTTGGAGCAGGGTGGTAGGGCGTCGTCCTGATGCGCTTACCTCCCAGCAGTTGAGCGAGAGCGTTGAAGAGAGCAGATTCAAATTGCGAGCCTCTGTCTGTAGTGATGAACTTTGGACAGCCAAAGCGTGCGATCCAGCTGCTGTAGAAGTACGTGGCCACGTTCGCGGCCGTGATGTTTTTGAGAGGAATGGCCTTCGGCCAGCGAGTGAAGCGATCCACCAATGTCAGTAGGTAGGTGTAGCCCTGGCAAGGTGGCAGCGGACCCACCAAATTTATATGGACATGATCGAAGCGCTGATCCGGATTCAGAAACGTCTTGAGCTGCACGTGCACGTGCCGACCAATCTTAGAGCGTTGACAATGCTCGCAGGCGCTG